ATAGAAAATCGTATTCTTAAAAATGTACTTTTTTATATTAATAAAGTATTTGTAGATTTATGATATATTAAAATATTAGATTTAAATAATTTAATATTTTGTTGATTATGAAGAATAATCTTCTCTCAATATTTAAAAGTTTTTTCCTAACAAATAAACAAGTTTCCACTAATTAATCATTGTAATATAAAAAAGGAAAATAAATTAGTGGAATAAATATCCTTTATTTAATTACTGTAATAGATTTATTTGTTAATAAATAGAGAGGAATTATTCCTAGTTGTCGTAACTATTTGAAATCCAGAAATCAAATATTCAAATTTTTAGCCAAAGATAATTTAGTTCTTTCAAGAAATTCGTCTCTAACAATAGAATTTATTTCAATAAATTGTATTATAGATAAAAAGATTTTAGAATCTGTAAAATTATTTTATAAATTTTGGAAAATATTCAATTAATGAATATGGATCTATTTTAGTCTGTAGCTGAGATTAAATTCAAACAATTCATTTCTTTCTTTTATTTAAACCAAATTCAACTTAGGTTTAAAATTGATTATTTTATCATTTAGTTAACAAGCAAAAGTAGATTCACAAAAATTATTAAGTATAATATATCGCATCAGAATTTACAAAGTTTCCTAAATCTATAAGTTGTTATTTTTCTTCAAAAATATCAGAGTAGGATGAATTTTTGAATTATGGACAATAAAAATTTAAAGGACATATTTTGCAGATACATAACTATTAATGATTTATATTAAGTTTAAATTAGATAAAACAAAAATGTTACAGATTTAAAGATTTAGTTTTGTAAATTTCATCTTTTTTGAACTTGACTCCAAAATTTTATATATATAGCTAATTAAAATTAATTTTTCATGAAGAGTAATTATTGACCAAGATATTAGGTTTAGAGACAAAGGAACACTTTTCACTTTACTCCTTACTTATAGGTTTAGATCTGTTTTAAGGGATTTCATATAATAAATTTTAATTGCAAGAATAATTAATCTAACCCCACTTCCCATAATTATCCATGAGTAATCTTACCAAGAAGCTATGGAATTCCTCGAACTTCAGATGATAAGCTCCCTAAATTAAAAAATAAGAAATTGAAACTCTAAAAACAAGTCATGATTGAATAATAGAAGAATGATAATAGAGATAAGAATTAATAATTTAAACATGAGACTAAGTAGCTATTGGATTTGGCAGAGAAGGGGCTATCAGAAATAAAATAATTATAACAAGATTATAGTTATCAATAATTGAATGATTGCCTAGATATGGATGAATTAGAAACTATCTTAGATAATTTAAAAAAAGCGGAGTCTGCTAACAATAATAAAGAAAATACACCAGAAAACTTAAATTTTTACTTAACATTGAATATATAATCATTCGAAAAATTAGAGAAAATGGTGGAATCAAGTAAAGGGAAAAACAAAATAGTACCAGCAAAGGAAGAGAGAACAGAATAGAAATGAATTTTGATATTCATAAACTTAAATCAATCAATCAATTTTTCTTTTCTTGTTTTTTTATAAAATAGGTATAGTAACTTGGTATCAATTTAGTTGATTAAATATCTTGAAAATGAAGATAGATAAAAAGTAAGTTTCGATTTCAATAACCGTATTAATATTTTAAACTATTTTAAGCTAATTGTTTTTATATAGCATCAATATCAAAAAATATATAAAAATTATTTTCATGAAAATAATTCGACTGCGTGAAACCAGATGTAAGTCGAATAAGGGGTTAAGGATACAAATTTTTTTTTTAATTCTATCAAAACGAATGATATTATATATAAATATTATTTAAGCATTTAATAGAAATACAAGTAAAAATAAAATATATGATAAAAGAACTTTAGATAAAATGTGTTATTGAAGGACATGATTTTGTTGAATTAGCTTGTTTAAATGAAAAATGTAAAGCTAATAGAGTTTATTGTCATTAATGTCTTAAGAATGGAGATCATGTTGCTCATATGAAGGATTAAAAGGATTTAAAAGAATTAATTGGGTTTTTTTAAGAAGTTGAATAAGAAAATGGAAGTTTAATATCAAAATTAAGTTTGATGCTTGGAGAAATAATCAAACTATTTAATTAATTAAATTAAGGATTAGAGTAAAAATATCAATTCTCTAAGGATAAGTTGTTAATGTTCAATGCAAAGCAATTGAATTAAGCTTTAGATTAAGTGATCAAATATGATGAAATTAAAAAAGGCTTATTTGAAGAAATAAAGAAATGTTCGAATGATATGATTATATCATTAAAAAAATATATTAAAGAATTGAAATTAGGAGAAGTAAATTATTTTTCATCAAAACAATAAGAATAAGGAAATGTAGAAGAATTATATTAAAAGGGTAATCAGATGATTAATTTAGGATGCAAATTATATGATGATGATAAATATGAAGAAGCAATTAAACTATTAGATGCAGCTTTACTGATTAATCCTAAACATTTCAGTTCGTTATATATAAAAGGTATACAAATCATACACAACTGTATTAGCTGATTCTTTAAAAATGCTTGGGAATTACAAAGATGCAATTATATGGGCAGATAAAGCTTTGTAGATAGATTCTAAGCATATTTATTCCTTAAATACAAAAGGTTTATAAATCAAACAAAATTTATTAGCCGAATCTTTAAAAATACTTGGGAATTACAAAGAGGCAATTATATGGGCAGATAAAGCTTTGTCTATTGATTCAAAACATTTCTATTCATTATTCATAAGAGGTATAAAAATCAAACAAAGATTTATTAGCTGAATCTTTAAAAATGCTTGGGAATTACAATGATGCAATTATATGGGCAGATAAGGCTTTATCCATAGATTCAAAGCATATTTATTCATTATATACAAAAGGTAAATAAATCAAACAAAGATTTATTAGCTGAATCTTTAAAAATGCTTGGGAATTATAAAGATGCCATTATATGGGCAGATAAAGCTTTATCTATAGATTCAAACCATGTCAATTCATTATCTACAAAAGGTAATTTAACTTTTTAAAGATAGGTGAATCATTAAGAATGTTGGGTAAATATAACGAAGCTCGTAAAATTTTTGATCAAGCATTAATTGTTAATCCATATCATGATAAATCCTTAGGGAGTAAAGGTTCACTATATTTTAATGTATATAGGAGCCTGTTTACAAGAATTGTCAAAATATTCAGAAGCTATTATTTATTACAATAAGGCTCTTTAGATCAATCCAGATTATTTATGGGCTAAAAGTAAAAAAGGTATATTATAATAATTTATTTTAATAGCTGAATGTGAAAAATAACTCAAACTAAAATAATGAGCCTAATGATTAGTAAATTATTTATTTTTTTAAAGTTCATCAAAATATCAGAAATT